CCACTCGCCGGTTAAATGAAGTAGCCTCTCATTTTGCATATCATAAATCTGTGTAAATTTCTTATTAGTGATGGGCCTACCTACCACACTCAAAATAAGGTAGTAATGAATCATTACCATGCGGAATGACTATGTGGCTCTACCACGTAGGTTACGATTTGTAGTAGAAATGGTAATAATAAGTTCAGGGAAATTCAAGTTTAATACATAATGGTATTAACTTCCTTAATATTGGTAATGAGTTTGAATTTCCCTGAAATTATTATTACCATTTCTTCTACGACAAATCGTAACCGACGTGGTAGAGCCACATAGTCATTCCGCATGGTAATGATTCATTACTACCTTATTTTGAGTGCAGAGTACGGTTGATTATGTTCTTAAATATCCTAAATATTTATGTAAAATGTTTATGTAAAATCAGATACCCAAAAGATGTATTTATGAAAAACATTTTTTAATTCGTTTTAAATTGCTTAAAAATTGATTTATTTGACTGCAAAAATGTCAAAAATTGTTTTAATATTTCACACTGACAAATAACAAGCTTTCCACATGCTTTGGTTTCATATTACATTAATGATCGAAATTATTTATGTATTGTGAATTTCTGCGATTTTACTAAAAAAATATATTTTTTGGAAAAAGCGCTAAAATATGTAAAAAAACCTATTTGAGTGTTTCAAAAAGATGCAGAATTTTAGCTAAATTCCAAAGCTGTATGTGCTATCCATTAGTGGTTTTTGCAATCTATACTAAATTTAAGATGAAAATAATAACTTTTAAAAACGGTATAGGTCACCGTATAGGGTCACTGATTGCACTTTGCTCACTTGTAACTTCATATTCTTTCATGTGAAGCAAGTTTAATCGCCAATTTCACTGGGCCGAATTTTACCTTTTTAAGACATTTTCTAGAAATCTCAACCCTATAGTTAGTTCGATTTTGCTGTGCTGATGTGAAAAAATCTACATGCACGTGTATCCGTTTTTTTACGAACGGGTACTGTATGTTTGTAAAGATGAACTTCGTCTAAATTATAAAATAATTTTTCGATGTGAATACAAAACCTGTACCAAGCGGAAGCGTGGAGGACCTGTTAAGTCCACAACAGCTTTGATTACCATGTGGTTTTAAAAAATGCATGCTTTTATGGAAGCCTCAACTTTAATTGCATATAAATGATACGTTTTTTATTTAAAATCCTAAAATTTTGGGTTGTAGATATGTACATTATTTTAAGAGGTAGTTTGCCACCAAAACCCTAATTCAAAAATAACTTTAGGAGGCAGATATCCATGAAGGGTACTTCTGAAATATTTGGAGGGTACTTCCCATTTAATTGGAGAGGCTTTAAATGCATGCCATTATATATTTCTTGGGCGTCACGAGTAGTAGGATTTTACTTGGCTTTGTTTGTTTGTTTATTAATTCTTTGATTTGCGGATCTTTGCCCCCCATTATAAGCTACCCGAGGGAAAATTTAGAGCATTAAGAGGTTGCTTTCCATTTAGGTTACTTCTTAAATATTCGGAGGGTAATTTCCATTGTTTTGGAGAGACATTAAATTACTTCCATATATAATTGTATGCAGATTAAATTCAAGGGTTTTCTTCATTACACAAATAAACACTTTATTCATTTATGATTATTTTATAATAGTAAATCGTCGTCATCATCAAATTATCATTATGATGAAAAGACACAAAATTCTGATATTATTATTACAACATACTTTTTCATTTCTTGTTGGTAGTATAATATTACTGATCAATGCTATTGTAGTAGTAGTTCGTGTGACAGGTTCGGATATTCTAAACATGTTTACAGTATCATACATACATAATTATACATATGTATCTCCCTCCTTCAAAAAAACATAAACGTTCAATTTCTGAGAGTTTCTGAGAGTTGTTGCATCTTGAATTTTCCATTATATTTAATAACCATTACGTAAGTAAACCTCGGTTGAGTAAATAATACATAATACCTTTTCGATTTCAAACCAATAAAAATGCAATATATTTACGTTAACTACAGAGAGCTCGTTATGATGTAATGAACTGAAGAACCATTATTATTGAGTAGATTTGTCATACTTTTCAAATTTTAACTACAAATCAGAGTTAATGAATGTCCTATAATTTTCTTTTTAAAAAAGAAAGTATTTCAGATTAAATGCGAAATTAGCAGTAATAAGCTGTACTTCGTAATCAAGATCATTATTTGTCCAGAGCCAACCATAATATATTTTCTTTGGATTGCTATACTTTTCGATGGAATATATGCTTGAACCTAAATAGAAAACTAGTTTTTCTCCCAACTAACTAAAAAAATTCTATAACTAAAACTAGGGTAAACGTGAAACTTATTTGTTATAATAAGTAATGTCAATTAAAAGTATAGTTCTATCGTAAAATGAGCTTATTAAAGTATTATGCATTATTATAATAATAATTATTATCATCATATCCAAGAGGAAGAACTGGTGTTCTTCTTTAAAGGACAAGTTTTAACAACTGAGAGACCTATATGAATCCACCATCCTCCGCTTTCTTAATAAATTATTAATTAGAAAAAAGTCGATAAGCAATCTTACGTAACTGATGATGACTCATTAAATACCACGGATCAAATAAGAGAGGCTGGGTTGAATTGTATTAATTATTATAATAGAAACTCAATGTAAGGTAAAATTAGTAAGCATTATGCATGTTTCTGTGATGAATGTACGCTTGTTATGACTGTTACATTTTATGGCACAAATATTAACAAAAATCAACAAATGAAGAATTTCCAACAAATCGACAAGTTAAAACAAAATGGAACAAAAAAAACACGCCTCGTTCGTTGATAAAAAGTTATTCGTTGCTAATTTAAAAAAATTAAACACAAACTCAACAAGTAAATTAGTGGGGATTTAAAAATGTCGGAAATCTGGTTTTATGAAGATGATTTGACCCGAAAATTAATTAACTATGCTTTCACCACTACCAGAAATAAATACAAATTTACATAAAAAAAAAGGCAAACAACTCATCAATCAACCCACTTTCCGTGCAGTTAGTATGGAATGTAAAAATCAAAAAAAAAATAAACTACACAGCCGGAATTGCAAAAGGAGATGGAGCATTATTATGATACAATAACCCCTATAAAAAAACAGCTAAAACATAACGAGTGAGTAAAAGTGAGTTACAGAAGATCAGTTTTTTTAAACACATCTTGGAAGATGATGAATTGATTATGCATTGATGAAAACTCTAAATATTGGTAGTCTAGCTGTTTTTCAATTTTTTTAGCAGATGAGAATTTACCGTCGCCGTCCTCCTTGTTTAATAAGGTAAGAATATCACACAGTATAGTTGTTGTAATGCAACAATAAAAATGCTCAGAGACAAGGATAAGTATTTCTTAATTAATATTAACTAATAACAATAGGAATAAATGCAAAATGCAATTATAGAAGAAATGCTTCCGTACCAAATAAGAAGACATTAAAGCTACAGCTTACATAGATATTTACTTATTTCGTACCTTATAGTCATGTCTCACAAAAATTGCAAACTTCGTAGCTTCAGCTTATCAAAGTAAAAATAGCTTAGATACTCTTCTGTTTGCTATAATGTACCTATTTTTGTTTTACCAGAAAGAGTACCGTCTTATTTACGTAGAAATAATGTCTGTCTGTACAACTGTTTATGTATATATGTGTGTATCCTTCCCGTACAAATTACTTATCAAGTATTACTTAATCGCTAATGATGATGACGATCTTAATTGTTTTGATGATGATGAAGATAATGATGATACATAATAGCTGTCTGTGTCTCATATATTTTGAACTTTTTGAATTCTATCCAATCGCTGCTAAAGTTGCTTTCATTAAATTCCACTGGAAGATACGACCATTGTTTTGTTACGAATTATAAGACCCAAAAGAGTTGCTTGAGTAGAGTCGTTTTCACTCTACTTGTATTATAATAAGTGGTAGTAATAAAGTGAGCTGTCATCAAAAAATTCACAAGTTATCTATAATGTTAGTTAATGTCCAAGCTGCGTGGCACTTTTGTTCACGTCGGAAGTCCCCTGAAAATAAAAGATGGGCACATTTTAAACATCAGTTTTTATGCACACATTTGATTTGCTCATATGATATGAATGAATTGGTGGCCTACATTGTTTCAGAGTTAGGATAGCTCACAGGAACTTGCATGGGGAAGGGAGGCGCCAAATGTGGGGGTGGTCCGAGAGGGTGGCCGCCGAGCTTTGGTCCGTCCTCTGCTTTCTCCTCTTCTCTCCGCTTTAAACAAGCTGCTTTGGGATTAAGGTTACGCTCTGAAATGAGCAAATGCACAAATCGGTAAGTTTGGGTACTCGTGAAAAGAACATGCAAACTTTACGTTACTGCTTGTAGAACGTGTTACCTCTAACTTGCTGTTCTAATTGCATTATTACTTCAACCGCCATATTTAATATTCCAAGCTTGGTTTGAGGCTTATCCGACTTCAAATGTTGCATACACATGCGACCCAATTCTTTCAGGGCCTCGTTAATATCTCGGATACGGATTCTACAAAAATCAGACAAAAGTTTAAGACAAGTTCCCATAAAATAAATTCGAATAACTTTCTGCATATCAACTTCCTCCGCCAATTTACCTTTCTCTTGCATTATTTGCCTGACGTCGTTCCCTTTCCCGTTGCAATTTGGTGTCGGGGTCAAGCCCTTCTTCATCTTCGGGATCATCCCTGCAAATGCGGATAGAATTTAGTTAAGAACAAGTTCCCAAACTCAGCCAGTGACAGACTAATTGAGAGAGAACTATAATAGTCGAGAGATCTTACGTAAGTGGGTCCTGCTCTTCATATCGTCTTGATCTCTTTGCATTTTTTGGCCCAGAAGATGTGGAAGAACTTGTACTTGCACTACTATTATTGGAACCCAGCCCTCCCAAATCAGGTTTGATGTCCGCAACCCCACCACCTGCAGCCGCGAGTTCTTTGCGTTTCTCTGCAAGCAAATCTAAAATTTTGAGATTTGATCCAGAATCGAGAAAAGGACCCAAATGTTTGAGGAGCATACTTCCTTTCGATGTATTGGGTGGTGGACGAGAGGGTTTCGTGTGAAGAGCGTCGGCATTCAGGTCGAGCGTGGAAGAAGAATGAGTTGGCATGGGTGGACCGTAACCTCCGGGACCTATCGAGCTCGCATTGCTGTGAGGGCTCTGAATAATCCATAAGAGAATTGTGATTAACACCAATTTCATAATTTCACATTTTTTTTTAAAAGTGACTACCAAGTGTGTGTCCATGGGAGGTGGGTAGGCCAAAAGTCCATTGGAATGTTGCTGAGCTGCGATATGAGGTGGGACAGTCAAACCATGAAACGAGGGGTGTGGACTGCAGACAAGTTGTTATCACGTTAAATTATGTATGCACAATCATCAAGATCAATTATTTGTCATCGTCGTTATTGCAATTTTTACCTTTCTGCGTGATTTCTTAACACGTTTATAGCGTCGTCCAACTCCGTTCTTGAACCCTGAGTTAAAAATGGCCAAGAAAACCTTGAGACATATACTCAAAACAAGGTGGAGAAAAGTATACCAAGTAAAATTACAAGTACAATTAAAAGTGAGAAGCGTAACATACATTCATGCAGCATGCGCCATGCCATGCACACATATACGTAAGAAAGCTTTTTGTGAATAAAGCCATCATGCGAGTTATAACTTTTTGCAGAAGAATACAAAATAAACAAAACAACAACAAAACATACCTCATTCTGATCGCGCAGAATACCGATCACATCATCCAAACGTTGCTGTTCAGGCACAGGCTGTTTTTCATTAGTATTACAAAACAATAAAATCAAACCGATTGTTTATTAACCCGACGTAATTAAGTATGTAAGTAGACTCCAATTATCAGAACAACAACTTGTGACCAGTAAAAAAAATAGAATTAAAATTCTATTTCGATAACAAAAAGCCATTCAAAAGCAAGTCATGAACATAAAAACGAACTACATGCATATATTTAGAAGAATTGGAGGTAAAAAAAAATGATGAGAAAAATGAGAGAAAGCACACTTGTGAAGCAGCTTTAGTTTAGATTAGAGTGAGCAGAGAAAAACAGTGGGTGTGAATAATGAGTGAATAATTAGTAGGAGTGAAGTACCATGTGATGTAAGGCCCTGTCATGAGAAGGGAATCCCCCAGGCGAGTTAGGCGTGTGGTTAAGAGGGGTGAAGGGTGTTACAGAACTGCCCCCACCCCACCCTGACCCCGCCGTGGCGGAGGTCAAAGGGGGCGGCGAGTTCACGGGCGTGGTCGGACTCGAGCTACTCGCACTATGATCCGTAGGATAAATCTGATCCAACAACATTCAAGAATACGCATGTCAGTCAAGCATTAGGTTCAAGTATGCACACTAATCTGGTTAAATATCTATTTAGGAAAAGAGAAAGTCGTATCCAGACCACAAAAGTAGGCAATTGGCGAGTTAATATTTTTTGAAAATTGATTCCAGGGTATGGGAAAAAGGTGAGAAGGGTGAACGTACCGAGGCCAAGGCTTTGCCCACCGTATCCCCAGGAGCTGAGTGAGGATGGGATGGGTGTGAGTGTTGTGGTACTGCAGGGCTGTGGTGATTGTTGTAGAGAGGACTGGACGCATTGTTGTTATTGTTGGGTTGGGATGGGTGCTGCTGCTGCTGCTGCTGCGAGGGGGGGCCGTTCGGGCGGAAGGACGACATTGGTGGGAGGGAGAGGTCACCATTTGGTGGATACCCGCCATGCATGGGGTCACCTCCGTGCATGGAACTCCCCCCGTTTGCTGGATATGATTGCGACAAATGGGGTGGGATCATGGAGGGTGAGTTGTAGTAATTGTTGCCACCCCCACCACCAGGACCACCCCCAGGATTCCCCCAGTCCACGCCACCCGTCCCGTCTGAAAACATAATTGGATAGCGTAAAGTTCCCGACTACTTTAGTGGGACCGACGAGTTAAAAAATAATCCGCTCCTATGTTATGGAACCTAACGGTTAAATATTAGTTTTTCTTACCGAGGAAGTAGTTGGATTCAGGATAGAGAGCTGACCCTTTCGGCGAAGCATACCGTGGCGAATCTTGAAAGTCTTCAGCACCAAACTAGATAAAACAAATTAGAGGAAAAATTAAAATTTCTGCCGACGAGACAATTAACCCGGATTTGATATACGAATTCCCGTCTCAATTTCATGATCACAAATAATTACGTTAATGATTATGCACATTTGCACGAGTACATATTTTGGTTAATTACTTTACTATTACATAGGTAGCCCAGTGTGTATGTATGTATGTACACACAGCAGTGCAACAGCTCAGGCTTCATTTCAGGAGGAAAATTCGAGCCGTAGTTGTTATGCGGACTGAATGCAGATTACGCTTGGTTTCACTCAACCAAATGATTATTAGGAATAAGAAAATGTGACTGGAATTTACAATTTACACAAATGTCCCATTCCCCGACCAACTCTGCTCTGAAGTGAAAGTCGCTCTCTACGTAAATCATGAGCACAAAGAGAGAGAAAGCAGGAGAGAAAGTGGACCAAGCAGAACTCAGCCAGGTGGAAATAATGGGAATCATTATCATGGACATGTTTAATAACTATTTTAGTCCCCTGTTGTGTACGGATTAATTCATCGCCTCTCTCACCACCAGCCAACCCACCACCGGATTTCTTGACGAATATTTTCCTGTACTTGCATAATAAATAATATATTTACCCTTAAACCATGTCTATGTACAGTAATGCATATATTACAAGATTATTTATTTGGGTTAATTAAACGAGATAGAATATATACATAGTTATAAATGTCAAGACTGACTGCGTACAATTGGGTGAGGATGTGGAGTGTATCGTCCAAAAAGCGAGGAGTACATGGAAGAACTGTACGCACAAAACATGATGAAACGCGTCAACTTGTCAAATACGTATTATCCAGATTACAAATTTACAATAACACCCCATCCCAAAATTTAATTTACAACAAATCTCGTATGAATTACTCTCTCTGAATCTGAGGATGGAAACTCGTGTATGTTTTCTACCCCGTTTCCAAAAGCGAACTAAAGGGAAAGTATGACCCTTTCTTCGAAGGCATGGTAGCAAGTGTCGTCTCATCATCACGACGACGAAGACCTACCCCCGTGTCGTATCCCAATCCAACAGCTTGGTGGATGTGCTACGCATAAGATCTGCAAGTCAGTATAAGTTTCCCTTCGCTTTTGTAAAGCTAACTAGGAGAAAAAACCAAGCCAAGGTATAAGAAAAATGTGTTTCATCCTCCACACCGACCAGAAAGCAAAGATCACTGAGTGGGATATCATGTCTCAGGATAAGTCCAGATTTTTTTCGGGGGGGTGCACCATCAACCATGCCACATTTGGAACTAATTCAGCCATGGATTCCTAAACAGCTTCGAGCTCAATGCTAATAAATAATGATACATATTTCCATTCGCTTATTTGTCATCAAACTTGACTAAGAGTGATGATTTGAGAATATTTATCACAGAGTTGATGGTCCTCCTCCTTAACGTAAACGATTGTATGCGTACAATCACAGTGTACCTTATCCATCCTCACTTATCATACTTTGCTTTCACCCAGGCCGACTTTCACTCACCCCAGACGAAAAAGATAACTCTATATATTGTTCCCTCTCTCATCTCGAAAACTTTCATCTTTCTCACACATTGTTTAGTCAACTTTTGGAAGATTCAACATTCTAGGAGATCCGAAACTTGGACTTCCTCTCTCTCTCTCGCAGTAGTTAGTTGGTTGCAGAGTCAAAAGTAAGTAAAGTAAAGTGGGAGAAGGGAAAGGAATTGGTTTGGGCGAAGGCAATTCTACACACGTGGTGCCACAGCCTAGCCTCATTTCTACCAAGAGGAAGACCACCACCACCACCGGTCCAATGGGTCCAACTTTCCATACTCCTCCTTTGGAAGTACAAGCTTCTTGTAGGAAACTTATTAGCCCCATGTAACCAGTCGTGACGATGGCATATGTATAGGGTGAAGATGAAGATAAGGTAGTGGAGGAGGAGGAGGATGATATCATAAGACGCATAACTGTAGATATTCCCCCCGCTTTCCCCAGTTTGCAGCTAATTTAACAGGTTTAAGTCGAGGATAACAACAAATTGGGCAGGAGCGAAATTGCTCTGGTATTATTCAAGAGGAGAAGAATCATTGATTTTTATTGTATTCCTTGTGTATGTGTCATTCCTGGGGAAGGGATGGAATAATGGAGACAAGTAAATCATCCCTTGTCATCGTTATTAGGTAGCCCGAGCTGACTGCTGAGCTCCAGTTGAGATGAAAAATTCATGAAAGAAAGTCAAATGTCGACTTTCGTTTCGTGGTTGGATTAGATGGATGAATGTAGAGCAGAGGCGGACATAATCCCAACCGCAGATATGTACAAGCCACCTTTCACTCTGATATTTACAATAGAAAAGTGTACGAAATTATTATTGGGGGTTAAAAAAATGATGCACGTTGGTCAAATTAGCAGTGAAAAGTTATGCTACCGTATTGTGTGTATTAATTTGGTTAATCGATCAAAAAAGCGGAAGGAAGTTGGGTAGGAAGTAAATGGGGAACTCGGTCAGCAACAATACCTCTAATACACCGGATATCACAACATATGAAGCAAATCAATCACCAATTTGATACTGAATTATTGACACGGTTTTAAAATTCACACCTGCCACAAAACCACAAAAGGGCATATATGTACAGATATGTATAGCATTGTAAAAAGACGGCTGGAAAATTAAGTCATTACCAATTTGTTCCTCTTATTTAAAAAAATCACCCGGGTATTGCAACTTTTAATAAGGATTCATTGGGTCGTGAAGAAAAAAAACAAACCTGTAGCAATAGTCATTTCCTGTTTTCTTTAATGTACAGAATGAGACTACGATACGACGATAAATCAGACACGAAAGCTAAATATCCTGCAAAACCAGCGTAAATCAATTATCTCACAGCACCTCATTCCTCATCCTTATATTCTTCCTCATTTTTGCATATTTTTCTTTATTCCTTTTCATAAAACCATCTTAAAATTTTAATTGCCTTCCAAACTCCCAAGATAAATAAGCATAGATTATCTCTCTCTAGATTTTTTGCAATATTACTCATAAAACACACCCATTAAAATTTTTGGAATTTCCACCACCACCACCACGACCACCACATTGGTTGGGTTATGATATGATAGAGCTGGATGGCCAAACCCGAAAATGCAACCAGCTTCGTTATGAAATGAAATAACATAACTTTCCCAACACTGGGCCAAGAAACAAAATGAAAACAAACAGAAAAAGACATAAATTGGGGATGGATGTGTGGCAGACAGACACATCACAAAAATGATGATGGTCCTTCTAGTGGGAATATGTAGAATATATCTCTCCTCTTCATAAATAAACCATCCGTCTGATTTACAACTACATATTTGTACATAGAGAACTACATACACTTGTAATCATCGGAGCAAAAATCATATTTAAAAACCTTGCAATTTGCATAAAAAATACTATTACGATTTCACCTAAAACGAGAGAAATTTCATGAAGGACAAATTCCTTCGGAGGAGGAAGCACGGTTAAAAATTCATTAAGTCAACAAACACCTCGGGCTGGTCGGAGACAAGCTCCTTTCCAACTACTTATTTGCATCAGCGACAATTCCTCGAGTAAAAACAACAACATGCAAACGACCAATATTTCTTCATTTCCTTGGAGGAGACAAATATCATGTCACCTCTGTCGTCTCATCATGTAACGACGGCCGGCTATATCGACTGACTAGCTCGCGGAAAGTGTCACCAGAAAGTAGAGAGAAGCCAAGTCGTTTTTTCAGAGTAAGTATCCTCATCATGGTGACATGATCGAGAAAAAAGTTGCCACTCTCGACTAGCTGACACGGTAATCACCCTGTACATTCTAATGTCGAGAACACGTCAGCAAATGTCTGTTTTACAAGAGTACAGGAAATTTATTCTACTCTCTGCCACGGAAAACGTAATGCAGCCACCTCATTTTTATTTCTCGTCTGTTTCTCCACTTTTTTATGGGAAATGCAAAATCTTTGAGAGAGAAGGAACACCGTTTAAAATCTCATTTAGTAGGAGGTTCCTTCCACCTAAGGAAATCTCTCTCTCTTTCGAAAAGAATGTCACCAGCGTCATCATTATTTCCCACTTTTTCTACATTAAAACACAATCTCCAGGCTTGTTTTTGTAGACAGACGACAGAACAGGATTTCAACAAGAACATGGGAAAAGTTTGTAGCAGTATTTGCTTTACAATAAGTTGCATCACTAATCTTCCGAACCGGGTGGTTGGTCCGTGTCGAGGAGTGAGTTAAGTCAAGAAAAAAAGCTGAAATTATAACTAGGATTAGCTAAGCAAGAGTCTACAATTTACATACTTTTTAACCAGAGAGGAGAGAAAGCGGATATGCATGTTTAATTGACTCAAAATATTTACAGAATTAATATTGTCGTTATTATTCCAATAAGCGAGCCTTTTCTCTCTTTGCAATTTCCGATAAAAATGATTGGGGTTTGATTTCTGCTCGGCATTGTTAATTCTCCGACTTCCGCCCTGGTGGGGGTCGAGATGATGCGGAGTCCTGGAATTCCAGTTGGCTTGGTTTTGTTGATAAGCGTGATTGTTGTTGTTGAGGAATGGTCGAGCATGGGGTCGATGATGATGAGTTTGCATTGTTTGTGGTTGATGAGGCCAATTAGAATTAGTCCCACCACCGATACTGCCACCACTATTACCATTCCCACCACCACCACCAACGCCCCGGATAAAGTGACCATTACCAAGAAAAGTTCTCTCGGGTCCAAAACTTTCACCACTTTTCCCATTATTGGGCAAAGAAGAGGAACGATTACTATTAGCACTGGTCCCATTAAGATAGCCATTACCACCACCACCGTTTGATTTCGCCATGCAGGCTGACTGGGAAAAACTCACATTTCCCCCCGAAGACGCACAAGACGAAGGTATTGGCAAAGTTGAGCTATTACTCCAGTTACAATTCCGATCCATCCTGATGATGATGATGATGGTAAT